TCTACTGGGAAGAAAGGCTGGGAGAGCTGGGATTGTTCAGCCTGGAGAGGAGAAGCTTTGGGGTGACCTGATTGTGGCCTTGCAGGGCCTGAAGGAGCTCCAGGAAAGATGGAGAGAGACTATTTGCAAGGGATGGAGCGACAGGACAAAGGGGAATGGCTTCCAACTCACAGAGGGCAGGGTTAGATGGGATATTGGGAGGAAATTGTTCCCTGTGAGGGTGGGGAGGCCCTGGCCCAGGTTGCCCAGAGAAGCTGTGGCTGCCCCTGGATCCCTGGAAGTGTCCAAGGCCAGGTTGGAGCAACCTGGGCTGGTGGAAGGTGTCCCTGCCCATGGCAGGGGGTGGGGCTGGATGAGCTTTAAGGTTCCTTCCAACCCAAACCATTCCATTATTATGATTCCAATGACACAGTGCATGCCAAGTGGAAAGAGTTTCTTAAAATGGAAATGGGAGATGCTGCTGATAAAGTCTGGGAGTTGAGGATGGAAGGAGTTTTGTGTTTCTGGTTTTGGGGTGACAGGATAGGAGTTTGTCTTGGCTCTTCAATCACTGGGGGTTTTTTCGTTAATTTTACATGTTGCACCGGATCCAGGAAAGTTCTGCTCCATGCAAATGTGTTTTATTTGTGTTTCTGAAAACAAAATATGTCCTTGCTGAGGATGCAAATCTCCACTTGCAGCTGCCACACGTTTCCCCACGGTGCCTCATCAGGTTGTCTCTGTAGTTGTGACTTGATGCCAAAGAATTGGCTGCTAATAAGGATGACAGTGCTCACCCTGAAGATTCCCTGGATTTCTAGCAGGCAAAAATTAAGGCTAAAAAGAGTCATCAGTTTACCAAGTGCTCTGATTGTGTTTGTCTCTGCTGGACTGGAACCAGGGTCTTGAAAAAAAAAATCAGCATTTTCCATGTTCTACAGCTACCTCTGAGTGCTGTGTATGAATTTAAGCTCGTGCAGAGTTTAAAAATATCTTGAACTTGCTAAAGAATGAGATAAAATAACAAAGAAATGATTCCCATTAATTAGAATTTATTATTTACTGTTTCTAAGTGGCATCAGGAATGTACTTTGATGTGTGTTATTCCCCAAGCTAATAAAACTTTCCCTTCCAGGCTGCCTTGATGATCTCCCTGATTTGGAAGTACTACTCTGAGCCAGTTACTGTGCTTCCAAGCAAATGGTTGGCTCCCCTGGAGAGGCTGGTGGCCTTCCCTACAGGGGTGGCAGGTAAGGAAAAGGACATTCCCAAGCTCCCATGGATTAACAGCACTGCTTCTGCACCCCCTTTATTCTGACTCCCTTTATTCTGTTCCCTGTGTGTTCAGATCGTATTTGTCAAAACTGGGAACTGAAATGAGCTTTTTGTCATTTTTGTTCGTTTTCAAACAGCAGCTTTATCTCTTTATCTGCATCGAAGATTTAAATTAGAATTATTTTTATATCAAGGAGTCCACTGAAATAGTAGGATTTGTTTTAAAAATGGGTAAATACTTCGTAGGTGTGGATATCCTACCTGCTTTTCATATAAATTGGTGAGGTTTCACAGTAGTAACTCCAGAGTGGTTGTTCCCTGTGAGGGTGGGGAGGCCCTGGCCCAGGTTGCCCAGGAGAAGCTGTGGCTGCCCCTGGATCCCTGGAAGTGTCCAAGGCCAGGTTGGATGGGGCTTGGAGCAACCTGGGCTGGTGGAAGGTGTCCCTGCCCATGGCAGGGGGTAGGACTGGATCTTTAAGGTCCTTTCCAACCCAAACCATTCCATGATTCTGTGATTTAGTTTTGCTCTCTGTTGGCATTTTGTCTTGTGTGTTCCCACCACATTTCTATTGCATTTTTACCCATGAAAATCCTTTTCTTCTGGCCAGTTTGTTATCCCTGTCCTGAGGGATGAGGGACAGGCAGGATAGCAGGACAGGGTAGGGGGCAAATCTTCATATTTTGCTCATAAATCCTGCCTGCCTTTGGAGGAGTTCTGATATATGTTGGTGGAATTGTGTGTTTGTATCCATGATTTGTACCCAGCATGTTTACTAGACAAGAGGAGTCTGCTTCAGGGGGAGGGAATAGTCCTTGGAAGGCTTTTATTAAATAGCATTGGAGAGGAATTAAAAAGGTTCATGTTGTGTCCACTTTCAAATCTTTTGTCCTGGTTTATAGAGTAAAGAGATCACTGTTGAATTCTAGGTCACAAACACAAAAATGTCTAAAATCACCCAAAAGGTGCTTTCTTCACATGTTTGCTGTGAATAACCATCTCCTTTTAAAAAGGCTGAATCAAATTTCAGAGGATATTTGCTTTTTACCTCTCTCAAACCCTGAATTTAGGTTCAGACAAAGCATTCTGTGACTTGCCAGGCCTTCAACTCCAGCACTTCAGATGTTTTTCCCTCGGGTCCACAGCAAATGTTTTCAGCTTTTTTTACCTTTAGTTTTAACATATCACACTTTGGCTCATTTTTGTGTGTTTGGGGCTCTTTTCCCGAGGTTTTTTTTGGAGTTCTCTGCCATCTCTTGGAGAGACCCACTTGGATATAAAGAGTTGTTTTGTTCCTGTTCACCTCATAACTTCTAAGTTCCACTTTCTGCACTTCCAAGGTTGTTTTTAGATGCCTGTGTTCCTCAGGGTTATTAATGCAGTGACTTAAACCGTGGTTTATGTCTCTTCCAGGTGGTGTTGGAATTACCTGCTGGCTCGTGGTTTGCAATAAAGTTGTAGCTATCATGCTGCACCCCTTCAGCTGAAGGAATTCCAGTGATCCATGGAACCCTCAACTGCATTTTCATCATTTTCACTATTTTAAATTAATTTAAAAAAAAAAAAAGGGACAGTTGTCTTTCATGAGACTGAGACAATCCTTGTTATTCCAGTTGGATATTAGTCAGTATTCCCTTTGATTTCTCTTTCCAGAGGTTGTCTTTTTTGGGGAGTCAGTTTTGAAAGAACAGCATTGCTGGTTATAGATCCTCAGTTTGGGTCTGTTCATGGCAAAACCATAACATTTTGGCATGGCCTGCGGTTACCAACATCTAAAAGGGTTGGATTTGGGTTTTTAAATTGGGAATGGGCTGGCATTAGGAATTAATTTGGGATCTGTGCTGTTTCTTTGCTGTATAATAATGGTGGTTTCACTCCCACATGTTTGGTAGGTGCTAAAGGGCAGAGGGAGGTGGTTTGGTTGGCTCAGGGTAAAATAGAGTTTCCTTGGTATTTTTTATCCTAGAATTGGAATATTCCTGGGCTCTCCTAAAAAATGACCCATTGATAGATAAGTTCAATGAATTTTTATCTCTTAAGAGACTCCCTTAGCCAAGCACAGGATGGCTGGATACTTTTTCCCCCCTGTCTTTTAAAATTCATTGAATTTTTCCTGGTTTTATTGATAATTGACCTTTCCTTGCTTGCTTTTTCTGCTTCCCAGACTGAGGATCACTGAAACCATTTCCTTCCATGTTTCACTGAAACTATTCCCTTCCATGTTTTGGGAGGAAAGGTCTGGCCAACCTTCTCAAGCTCCATTTTAATAGAGAGAGAGTAGAAAGTGCTGTTCCTGCAGAGGTGATCCTGTTTTAGCATCCCACTTTGGAATTCCCACAGTGAAATGCATCTCTTCTGTTATTCCAGGTCCTTCTGGGACCAGGAACCCTCCAAAATTAGCACTGCCTTTAGAAATCAGATCAAAAGGTCATGTTATGTTGTGTGTATATATGGATGAAATGTTTGGGGTTTTTTTAATGTTAATTTAAAAATTAGGGGTTTATACTCAGAGTTACTTTGGGCCAACATGAAAATAGATACATTAAGTATCCAGGATAAAAAATGTTGTGATTGAATGTTATGTCTTATTATGGTTTTATTAAGGAAATAAAGCTTTTCAAGCCCTCTCAGGTTTCCTGATCCCTTTTTTAATGTTTAGTGCAGTTTTCCTAAAAAAAAAAAGAACCAACCAACCAACCAAAAAACAAAACAAAACAAAACAAATAAAAACCAACTAAAAAAAACCCCAAAAAACCAAGTGACAAAACAAACTCACCAAAATCCAAACCAAAACAACCCCCTGTGTTCTTGAATAAGGAAATACTCTTGGAGTCAACAGGACTAATTTATTTTTACAAACATTTGAACTTTGAAAGTAGGTTCAGCTCTGAATATCTTTGTCATCTTTAAAGGCTTTTGCAGTGTAGTTTTAGAAGGTTTTCAAACTGCTGCTGCCTTTTAAAACTAACAGAATACACCCAATTTTTCCTAATTTCACATCGTTTTAATAAGTGTTTTGTGAATTACCATGAGGAACAAACCATAATCCTCCTCCCCTGGCTTACATAACCTTAAACACAGGATTTTTAAAGGCTTTTTGGGAGCTGGCCATGCCTGACTTCTCCTAAACAATAGTTTACTCTTGCACATTCATCTTTGGATGTCAGCTGGGGAAGTTACCAGGCAAACTGCTTTGATAAGTTGGAACAGTGGGAAAGAACGAGGCTTTAGAGGTTTCTAATGCTCTTGAAAACAATGGAATAGCAAATTATTTTCGTTACATGCGAGTTCTGGAAGCTGTTTGGGGAGGGAAGAAAATAAAGAAGTATTTTCTTTGATTGCATTGTTGGGGCTAACACAAGATGAACCTTGCAAAAGCGGGTCTGTCGTGTCGTGCTGAGCTCCCAGATTCCAACTGCTTGAGGATGCAAAGTTTGGAAGTTACCAAACAAGGACTAACTTGGACATCTGATAGCAGGTAAAAATGTCAAGGGACTCTCAGTGTGATGCATTTGCAACACACAGACCAAGAAGAGGAGAACGTTCTTCTGCGACCATATTTTGAGTGTCGTGTCGGAAAGCTCGTGGAAAGAAACTGCCAGTGCTTGTAAGATTTAATACACATTTAATGAAGGTAAAACATTTGGTTTGAACAATTTTAACAGTTTTACATTTTAGAAGTTGGAATTTTTTGAACATAAGTTGCTGTAACTTGTCTGACTGTCAGAAATGCTTTGTGTGTTCTCGGCAGTTTGTTCCCGTCGGGCGCTTCCCGTGACGAACTCGCCGTGGAGGTTTGGAATTTGGCCTGTGCCTCATCCTGCATCCTTGCATTTTGTTCCTCTCGTGTTGGAACTCGAAGGGTTGTCTCTCTGAGCAGCTCCTGCTCCAAAGAGTTCTTTCATAAGCTGTTTTTTCCTCTCAGCGAACGCCACGTGAGCACGTCCTTCCGCTCCGGCGGCTCCGTCCTCCTGCCTGGGCTTGGTGTCTTTACCAAAGGATGGCTCGTAGAGCCCAAAGGAATTTTTCCCTCTGGATTCAGCTGTTTCAGTGCAGCCCTGCCCTGCCTGTCCCTGGCTCCCTGCTTTGGGGTTTCTACCTGATGTGTGAAGCCCCTGGTGCAAATTCTCAATGGCTTCTGAGAATGTGTATTTTTTTTTCGGCCTGACGGGTGTTTTGTGTGGAATTGTACCTTCCTTCCCTTCCTTCCCACTGTTAATTTGCTGTTCTTCTGGCTTTTCTCCCTTTTCAGATGCTTCTACTGCATCTCCCTCTTGATTGTTGTCTTTTACACCATCACTTTGAGGACCTTGTTCAGTTTTCATGAGGTTTTTCAACTCCTGTTTCAGCAATTCTGTCTCTTTTTCCTTTTCTTTCACAAATCCTGAAAAAAGTGTGTTCTTCCATCAGTAGCCTGCCCTCCCTTAAATACTCTAAAATTAAATATTTTGGGGTTTAGGAATATAAAAGAGTCAAGAAACATTAGAGAGCAAGTTTCCCATCCCTATTTCAATGCTTCAGCTGTTACTGATGGTACTTCAGTCTTGGGGGTTATGACAATGCTCTTCATAATAAATACAACAGGATGGGGCAAGATTTAAACAAGATCATTGTGCCATTGAACGCAGGTTAATGTCTTTATTTTTACCTTTTTCACAATGTTTAATTTTATTAAGTGAATTTAGCTGCAAGTATCATCAGTAATTCCTAAATATAGGGCCAGAAAAGTCATGTACAATGCAACAGAGAAAGTATGTGAGGTCTGAACTGTAATTGTCATTTTCTTGCTGTTGAGTGGAACTTAGATATATGTAGGATTCTTCTTTCCTTAATTCATAACAGGGTTGCTTGTAGAGCAAAATATGCAGCAACTCTCACCTGTAAGTGAGGTGACTCCACTTTTTAGTAGGAAAAGGAATACAGTGAATATATTTATCTTGTAATAGTTCCTGTGCTTTGGAGAGACTCACAGGATACCTCCAGAATGAGGCAGAGTCTTAAAGGAGAAATATGAAGCTGCAGCAACTAAAAAAGCTGAGTAAGGCTTCAGTAGGAAAGTCTGATACCAGCAGTGAGAGAAACTCAGATTTTTCAGGGTTTCAGACAGAGATTCACAGGGAGCATTAGGAGACCTGTGTTTTCTGCCAGTTTTAAAAGGGAATTTCAAAGGCAAATGCCTTTGGTTACCTGTGGGGTCTGGAAAGGCAGAGTACAAAGCACAGGAATTAACACAGCCCAGATTTCAGTCTCTATGAAGTGACCTCGACCTGTTTCACCTCTGTAAATGTGTGGCCTGTATGTGTCCTGCCCTTTGGGAAGTGTTTCCCATGCTGGCATTCAGATCTTGGCTCTTCCTTAATGGAAATCACATGGATATTTCTAGAAAGAAAAACTTGGATAGAGGAACAAATGCTTCTTCTTTGTTCTGTAGAATTACTTCAAAATAAAGGTGTTTGTAATGAGTCCCTTGCAAATAACTTTCACATGAGTTTGCCTAAAATCTATTTACAGTCATCACTGTAACAAGGAGAAACTCCCAACCCTTGAAGTCCTTTTCCTTTCCCAGGCAGAGGAATACACATTCCCACCAGCTGGCATGAAGATTCCCAACAAGAATTTGAGATCAGTGGTTGATTAGTGTGGAATTAACAGCTCTTAGTTATACTTTTACAGAGAAAGCACTGAATTTTTACCAACCTGGGCAGGAAGTGCTTTTGGAAGAGCAGCAGGATGGAGATGTTGGCTGCTGCAGAGCTGCTCTGCTCTGTGTGACACCACCTTAACACATCATTTGAAGCTCATTCCTGTCAGTCAGGTGCCAGCTAAATTACCAATACCACTGGTAATTTGAAAAGATCAAGAGAGTTTGTGAGCCAAATTATAGAACATACCTCTGTGTGCTCTGTTAGAAGTTTTTGGCACCAGTGTTTTCTTGGTTGATTGATTTTCTGTTCTCTGAGCATCTGAGTTCACTTCATTTGCTGCAGCTTCTTCATCCTTGTCTTCTGAAGACTTTTTCTCCTGTAATTGGCAATTAGAGGTAAAAATAACAAGGGAATGCTTGTTTAGTGACTTTTAAAAGTACACTTATTAAAAGATTAGTAATTTCCATTGCTGGTGTGTTCTTATTTTGCATCACAACATATTTTTCTGCACTATAATTACACTCGTGCAAAACCCACCTCCTGGGAAGTTAAGATGATGGACCAGGCTATTCAGGCATGTTACTGAAACTTAGGGAATAACATCCAGCTTGGCTGGGAGTTTGAATACGGGATTAGATTTGGATCCAGATCTTTCCTACCTTTATGAGCTGGATTGGGCTTTTTTCTGTGTCCTGGTGCTGTGACAGCAGCAGTGCTCTGAAACTCTCTTTATCTACTTGTACTGCTCTGTTTACACTCAGACCTGGTGAAAAGGACAGTCATTGGCAGTACAGCAGTTTCTGGAATTGTATTGTTGATACAAACAAAAGATATCTCTGATGACTAATAATACTGGTACGTGGCCTAGGATTTAAACATGTTTTTTTAATGCATGTCTTAATGTCCTTTAATAAATCCTTTGTTCTGCCTGATCTATAAATGATGAGACTTTTCATCTGTACATCAGTACATCATATATATATATATATATATAATTTATCTATATTATACATAAACATATATTAAAAATATACAAAGTTCTGTTCAGATAGAACATGCAAAGACAAATGACTGTGTCTATTCCCTAGAGCCCAGATGGGCTTAGTTTTCAACAAGGTAAATTTAAGAGGTCTGGTATGAGCCCTCAGCTTTCAGATTCCTAAATCTGGGCCTTTATGGAACCCAGCTCTTCAGAGCAAATGCTTAACACTGTTTGAGATATTGATGGGGTTTGGAAGAGATTTCAAGGGATTGATTGAATGAAATGCTTAAAGAAATAGCTGGATGGAGATGGGATGGAGAGTATTGATCTTTATTCTACTTTTAGGATAATTTGGACATGAGTGCAGGAGCTGAGACAGTTGCTAACACAGCAATAAAAATGGGATTTTACCTACATCTACATTCATCCTTATTCCCAGTTGTGACCTCAGAAATCAAAGCAACGCTCTCCATAAAAACGGTGCCCTCCCAAGGTTCGCACTGAGTGGTGAGAAGGTCGCAGGTGACCGACCCGAGGATCGCTCTGATGGTGAGGAGGGAATTGCCCTTCCCAGCTCCTCCAGCCCTTTTCCCATCGGGAATGAGCGGCGCGTTCCCCGGATCCGGGACTAGAGGGCGCTGCCCCCCCAGGTGAGCTGGTGGCACCTGCGCGCTCTGCCCTCGGGAAGAGCTCATGGAATTGGTGGATTCATCCCATAAATCCGTTTTATTTGCGTGCACAAGGAAGCCTCCCCTCAGCGATTTAGCAGGAGTGTTAAAAAACACAGCCCCAGATTTCGTCTTCGGTTTCCTGCTGGCTGAAAACTTTTGGCAACATCAACTAGAAAAAAACGACCTGAAGAGGCAGCTCTTTACTGGTCTGTTAAAGGAGAATTCAGCAGTGAAAAGGAAAAAAAAAGTATTGTCAGGAATTCCAGCTCTAGGTTTCCAAATTAACTGGCGGAGAATGAAACCTTTATTGGCCAAAAATTCCAAAAGATCAGACAGCTCTGCTTGGAACCTTTTAATCACATGTCTCTCTCCAAATGAGCTCCCTTGTCCTGCTTAAAAAAAAATTAACTGAAATAATAAATGGTGGTTTAAGCACCAGAATTTAATAGGAATATTGTATCATGTGGGAGTAAAATTTTTAAAAAAACATTAGTTATGTGGGAAACTGGAATTCAGAGCTTCATAAAAAAAACATGCCCATCTTGGGATGAGAAGCAGGAATATGTTTTTTCTTAATTTTACACCTTGAATCCCCAGTCTTTTCCCCGTGGTTCACTTGCAGTTAAGGCAGAGCAATGGATTTGCAAAGGTGAGGGAGAGGAAAGAAATAAGCAGCTGAACGTGACAAAACTTTGTGTTGGCCCCGTAATTTGAGGAATTCTGTGGGAATGTGCAGTATTTCCAGCAGGCTGGTTTGCTGCCATGTAAATTTTAAGTGTTTTTTGGTATGAAAAGAAGTTCCAATTTCTCCTTCAGTTCAGGAGCAGGAATTTTAGGGCCGGTATTTTAAAGAGGTGCCTCACCCAGGGAAGTCCGTGTTTAGATCATTAAGTGCCTAATTAAGGGTGTAATTAAGGCAGCATGCACTGGGGTGTCTCAAACGGCACTGGGTGTCTGGAATCAGGGAGTGGAATCCCAAAGGCAGCTGCTCCTGGAATGTTGGATGGACACAATTCCATAAAGTAGATATTTCTCCCCAGTATCTATCTGAGCATCCATGTGAAAATACTGTTTAGTAAAAAGTTCCTTCTTCCTTGATATAACTTAATTTCTATCATTGTACTATTTTATCCTAAATAACATCAATTCTGTGCATGGAATGAATCTCTTTGGAATTAAAACCCAAAGGATCACTGAGGACACACATGGTTTTCTCTCAGATGAGACCATCAGACTGGCCTTTAAACTTCCTTTTTAGCCCACATAAAAGTGCTACACTAGCATTTATTTTGGAATATACCCCCCAGTTATAAAACAATGTAAACATCACATAACTTAAACAGAAAAGAAAAATGAATATACACTTACTTTGCTCCTGAGGTACCAAATCAATCCTGTCCTTCAGGGTTTTGGGCATCCTATTTGCATAGATATTTTTTATATAAAGCTGCCTATCCTTTTCCTAAGAAGAAACAAAAACTCTTAAATTTCTAATAGACATTAAGAATTACTTTTTACCAGCTTAGTTTTCCCATGTTGGTAGAAAACCATCGGTGATTTTGCTTTGTTCCAGGCCATGTGGTGACTGTGTCATTTACAGAAACAGGAACCTGCCATTTTTTTCCAAGTTAAAATTCTCCCTTTTTCAGGCTAAGAACATGATGTTTTTCATGACACAACATTCAGAATATGAAGGCTTCCCTCATGATTTTTATTTTATTTGTTGTTCTATTTTTTTCAGAGTAAATAACTTTTTACCTTTATTTCCTTTTTAAAAAAAATTTAATTATTATTAAATTGATTTATTCAGTGCCCTTGTCCTTGTGTGTTCAGTTGTTTTCAACCTCTTGCTTTGGTGGTGACACAAACTCCAGAGCACAGGTTTAATATTTATTTAGCAAGATTCCTCTTTCCTTGCTGAAATCTTACTTGAACACAGGAGAGTGATTTCAGCACCACTCTCACCACATCAGATTTTAGTGTGAAAAAACAGGAGCTTCATTTACTCTGACAAATTACAGGTTATCCTGAAAGTGTGTCTGAATAGCTGGAATGGCCTGGAATAAGCCAGGAGCTCAAAACTATGAATGTGGAAGAATAAACTCTGTTCTGGCACAGAAATAAGGTTAATTAGAATGTCTGGGCTTCTTTGTGATAAAACAAGAGAAGGTTTTGTGGATCTAAATGTACCATTAGAGAACTGGACACACAGAGAAAACTGTGTGGAAAAGAGATGAAATAGAAATATTTTAGAGGAATTTTAAGGTGGAAATTGGATTTTACACTAATTTGCATTTTGGGACAGTTTTATATTGGTGTTGCTGGGATTATGATTATTCCCATCTCCCAGATCTGCACCTACAGGCAAGGAAAGACCAGGAGGAAATTTCTGCCCCTGACACACGGGGAAGAGGCACAAACAATATCCCTGTGCAAAAAATGGAAATCTCCAGGAATCCTCAGGAACTGAGGACTCTGTTCTGCCCTTCACCATGTCTGGGAAAACTTCCCTTAACAACATCTTTCACAGGCATTTAATTCCATTTAGAAAGAGAAAGCTCCCCAGTGGGATCAGCTCTATGTAGAAACAAACAATTAATTAATTAAAATGTATTTTAACTGTATTCCAAACACAACTGTTAGAAAGCCACATGAAAATTAAGGTTTTCTGGAATATGCACTGTTTTTCTTGATTAAAACTCATCTGGGATCTCATTCCTGGCAGTTTTGTTTTTATTTCTGTCTAGTTTTCCTGTATGTTTGGCTCACAAGCACTACAGAAAGTGTTGAACTGGATGTATTCGTGCCAAAAACATTTGTCCAAAAACCAGGCTGGAATTTAAACAAACTATTGAAACATTTCCATGAGTCTTCTTGTCAAATTTTAATTTTGCAGATTGTGATGTTTGGCTCACTTTGATTTGATTTTTCTCTAGGGGAGCTCATTTAAAGTTAGTAGGTGAATAAACTGACCCAGATCTGGCAAAATAGTAACACACTGGTGTGGATTTTTATTTGATTAATCTCTGTTTCATTTACTTATTGAATTAATTTGAACCTTTGACAAGTAGACCCCACAATAATTTCATCATTTGATATTTTGAGTTTTTTGACCTTAGACTCAAGCACGAAACCAAAATCCCATTAAAAAATAACATAAAAACCCAAAAGGAATAAGTAACATTAAAAACTTGAATTTTCTTGTAGGAACAGAAACCTGTGTACAATCTTGAATACCTTAATTTTTTGGTGCAGGGAGTTAATTTCCATTTTCAAATTCTGTGTGATTATTCCAGCTTCCAGAGCCTTTCTGCTCTCACTTGCCAGCTGACGATTAAAGGTGTTGTTGTTCAGCTTCAGCTGCATTTCAAGACTCTTAAAAAATGATATATTTTACCATATGAACATACTCAGCAGGATTGTTGAAAAATTTCAGTTCTTACTAAATTTAAAAAAAAGTGTGTTAATACAAGAAAAATTAAACTGATTATATTATGTATAGTAGTAGTAATTATATAATAATTATTATATCAGAATAACTGTATTTTATTGTAAACATGACATGAAATTATGATGAAGGATCTGAAAAATTACTTTCAAAATAAGAAAAAAAATAATTTAAAACCTAATTTCACTAAGCAAAAGCAAAGGTTTTGCCATCAATCATAAAAATAAGGCTGCACATCACCTTTCTGGTGGATTAATAAATACAATCATCTTTGGGAAATGTTAAGACATTTCTGCTCACAGAGAGCTATTAACTGTGGCAGAATAAGGAGGTTTGGTGCAAATGGCAATTAAGAAATTTATTGAATATTTTATTGAGTATTTTATCACCAGAACCCAGTGCCATGCACTGGAATTATAGTTCTAAACCTGTAGAGTGGGCACCCAACCCTGTGTGGTTTTTCTAGCTGCTCACTAGGGCTTCTGCAAATTGAAAATTTTCAAAAGAGGGGTTGAATTCGGCTGTTTATATTTTCATTTTCTCTAAGATTTTTTGTCTCTTTTTTTATTTAATTTGATGCCTAACAGACCCCATAGAAATTAGAAATTAATTCCTGAAGGACGATGGAAATGTCTCTCTTCCAGTTTTGTATTAAAAACCGTTCCTGTCTTTGTGTCCAAGGGTCAAATAAAGATGTTAAAATGAGATTAATGACCTTCTCTGAAACTTCCTTACACTTGAGACAACGCTGGATTAAAGAAATTATTCTGTTTTCCAGGATTGTCTCAGAATCATTAATGTGACAAGAAGCAGCCAAAACTTTTCTATTATTCCTGTCCCAAAACCTCTCCTACTCAGGACATTCCACCATCCAGTGTCCCACAAATCCAATAATAAGCAGATATTACCTGTATTTCCTCATCCTTTGCTTCCAGTTTTTCAGTGAGGACTGACAGCCTGTGATGAAGTTCCTCTCTCCCTGCCAGACCTTTGTCTTCTGACAGCACCAGCAAGGCCTGCAGAGCATCTTTAACTTTCAGCAGCTCTGCTTCCACTTTCCTGAGCTCCTTGGAGGTGTTCCTCTCAGATTCCTGGGACATCCTCAGGAGGTCCCTTAAATTCCTCACCTCATCATAATGTCTGGCTGCAAGATCCTCAAAGTAACTCTCTGAGCTTTTGTACCTCCCTATTGCTTTGGACTGTCTCCACTGGAGCTGCCTCAGGGCGTGGTTCTCTAAGCTGGAGGCTTCTATTTTTCTCTGCAAGTCGAATATTTCGTTCTTCAGCTCCTTGATTTTGTGGAGCCTGGCTGATGAGATCCTCTGAGCCCCTGCATTTTTATCCTGGGAGGTCACGTTGCTCTGCAGGGTTAAGCAGGAGCAATGGTGTGTCTTTGGAGCTGGGAATGTTCTTCCTCCTGTGTTGAGAGCAAAGTGGCACTGAAATATGGGAATTATTGGAGACATCTGAATCACTTGTCTGCTCCCAGAAATTCTGCTCATCCAACTCCACAACTCTGGTGTATTTGATAAAATTCCCAAAGACTCCACTGTTCCATGAGCAACCTGGTCTAGTGGAGGGTTCCCTGCTCGTGGCAGGGGGTTGGAAGGAGATAATTTTTAAGGTCCCTTTCAACCCAAACCATTCAGTGATTCTATGATTCCAGTATTTCACAGGTAAATCCATTAAATATTTTATATCTGTGTGTACTTCTGTGGCTGCCCTGGGCCACAACCAACAGGAATAACTTAGTGAAGCGTATTTGTGTTAAAACATTGCTCCAGAATCAATGGAAATAAATTTTCTCCCTGTAAATCACTCAGTTCACTAATTTAGGCACAATCTGGGGCCTGGTGGACCAAATTCAGCCCATCTAGAAAGATCCCCAAGAGCAAGAAGCTACACCTTGAATGGATGCATGATAGAAAAAAAACCCACGAAACAATTCTGTGTTTCTATAATTCAAGTATTTCACAGGTAAATCCATTAAATATTTTATATCTCTCTGTATTTCTGTGGCTGCTCTGGGCAATAATGTCCAGATAATCAAGATAATCAGAGTAACCTCCAGACTCAGAACCCACCATGATCCCCACAGCACACACTGAAAAGCCCTGCAGCTGGGATTTCTAACCAGCTTTCCAGAACTTTCAAGCCAGCTTTGAATTAAACTATATTTTTTTAAACATTTTTACGGGCTCATTAGCATAGAACAGGTGCACTTTTGTGCATGGTTTTAAAACAGAAATTGAAAAATATATATTTATGGGCTACATCCTCAGTGTGTTGTCGCCATTTGCCTTCCCTTATGGCCAGGGTTCTGAGGGAATTACTCTCCTTTTCCTCTCCTGAAGCAGAATTAGAATTTGAAAGTAGTCAAGGCTGTAAATCTGAATGTGTTTCCCTTTTTCAGGCATATATATTTGATTTTACTACAGCTCTCAAGGCAGCATTTTGCTGGGAGTTTATTATGATTTATACATCACCTAATATTTTATGGCAAGGTCAAACCTAAAAGAAACAACACCAAAAGACAGGTCTTTTCAAGAGTTTTTGTTGAATCCAATGTTTTCTGTAACACAATTCCACTGCAGGAAGGCTACCAGATGACCACAAGTGTTGTCATACAAATATTTGCAAAATTACATTGTGTTCCTGTTTTAGTTTGCCAGAATGGAGGGAGAGGATGGAAAAGGGAAAATACCTTCCTGTAAAAGCTGTCAAAAGTACTATAAAATCTTTATATTTCATTTCAAGTAGTCATGAACAAGTAAAAATAACCACTGTATCCAAATTTTATATATATATATATATATATATATATAATAATAACCACTTTATCCAAATTTATACATATACAAAATAAATTATCCAATACAGGTAGAGGCCAATAATGATTCTTTTGCTAACTAGATTTAAAAAATATCATTATTCTTTCTGGTTTGCTTGTTTCATGCCATTCTGACTTCTAACAGCAGCATGTAACAGATAATAACAGAAATAATCAGTGGTTTCTCTCTCTTTTATTTGATTGATTTGCATCTTGGAGCTTTGGCAGATTGAGATGAAATTTTGAAGCTCAGCAGGAAAAGGGCTGTTGGGTTTACACTCATTTTTTGATGTGGTGTGGTAGGATTTGGGAAAGGATGGGTCTGGATGTGAAAACATGCAGACATGGAGTGATCCTTCACTGTAATATTTACCTAAATTCCATGTACATTTACATATTAGTTCTATATGGTCATTCTGTTGAGGCATAAACTTAATTTTACATGACTAAGTGGCCAAAACATGGGGGTTTTCTGGTAAAAATTGACACTTTTGTGCATTATTTTTAATCATTTTCCTGATGAAAGGCTTTTTCAGCCTCATCAAGAGATGCAAGGTCAGAAACCAAAATGTGGGAGAGCCATTTTCAAGCCCTCAGATTAAAGCTGAGGAATAAGGATTTCAGAGGTGCTCCCACCCCCCAGGTGATTATCCTGCCTCTTGGGTCGCTGAGTATTGTGGAATAACACAGCAGGGAATCTCTGTTTCTTTTCCAACAGTGTTTGAAACACGAGTTATTAATTTCTTCACTGAAAAAACTATTTCCTCTGTTTTCCTAATTATTGAAAATATTGCCAAAGAAAGAGAACAACCGTATTTCTCAAAAAGAGCCTCATAATACCAGGAAAAAACCACCTTTTTATCATCTTGGGGGAAGAGACACTGACCTTTTTTCTTATTTCCCATCCTCTTTTTGCCATATTTTTGTGTTTTCTTTTCTTCAGTTCCTGTGGTTGCTAAAGGTTGTCTGGCCCTGACTGTTCCAGAGTCAATCACTGGCAAAGCCCTTGGGAATGTCAGTGGGAGAATATTCCCTTGGATCTTCTCTGCTGGGTGGCCAAAAATCATGACCCTGCTCCAGCTGCTGCCTCTGGTACTTCTGTGCCTTGGGGGATCTTCAGTTTCCCTGCTTTTTGTGCCACATTCCAACTTCTGTCATGGAAACACGGAGGGAAAAACCACCTGTGCTATGGGAGAACATGGAAATCCCTGTCAGGAGTCAGAACATTATGGAGAGGTTTGGAGCTATTGAGTTGTTCACAGGTAACATAAACACCAAAAAGTGTTCAAATGTATTAAATGATCCTAAGAAAAACACAGTTACCTTAAAAAAAAAACCAAAACAAACAAACCCAGGTACTTCTCTTTAATCCATGAAAATAATTGTGTGGTCTGTAATTTGTTTCTAAAATGAACTGCAATATGAAATATACTGGTTTTATCTCAGAATTTACTATGAGAGCAGCCTATATTTTTTTTTTTAAGATTTGCAAGGCATTTCCATTTAAATGGAAATAGATACCATAGTTTGCTTCCTGTCATGGATACATTTTCTCCAGGATTTAATTTAAAGGATTGTAATTGTATTTATTCTCACCACCTACAAAGTGATTTACAGTATTTAAAGAAAGGAATTGTTCGAGTCTCAAGAAAATGAGTGTTTCTATCTGTGCTTTTATAGTCTTTTTAACTTTCCATTCATGTCACAAAAATATCATTTAGTAATATTTTTGAAGAATTAGGTAGTAAATCAGATCACAACATTAACTTAGGCATTAAAATAGAACAAAACCCACCTTAGCTGCCATATTAATATTATAAGTAGAGGATATAAAAGCACCTAAAGCTGAACAACAGAGTATCTGAGACTGAAATAAAGCTTTTCTGAAACTTCTGGGATGTTGTTTATTTTATCTATTTTTGTAAAAACAAACAAAAAAAGCTTGTAAATAAAACCTCACAATGTAATCAAAGCCGTGGCTGTGATAAAAATTATTTCCTGGGGTATTATGCAATCCATTTAATTTTCTTACTATCACATGAGGACTACTCAGATCACAGTTTTATAGGTGAAGAATTTTATTCTGCAGTTGAATAAGTTGTATATTTGGGGGTCTCTGAAGTGAGCATGGCAAGTACGTAAAAGAAATTTGAGGGGAATTAAAATGATATTTTAGTTCAGATGGATTTTAAAAAGCAGCCTTCACTAAAAAAATATGTGAGAAGATACTTTTGGAACATACTAACTCCTCTGTTGGCATTTTTGCTTTGTGGTGGCATATCATTTAAAATTATTAAATTAAATTTCTTACAGGAGGGAGGGGAATCACATAACTCCCCAAGAAAATTAAAAAGTTTAATTCAGGATTTCACGAAGCATTTTAGGTTGAATCAAAACAGTTTCATTACTCTTAATTCCTTTACAAGAACAAGTTTTCCTCGTGGAATACTAAGGAATGCCAGGGTCCTGCTAAATGTGAGGCAGTGCAATAATCCCTAAGAGATGAGAAATCATATTTTGAGCATTAGGCAAAGCCCAGCTTGGCACATAGATTTGTATTTGTGTTTAAATTTGATTTGGCTCTGCCAACAATTTCTAGGCAATTTGTCTTCAAATCAAATTAGCTGAAATTGAACTTAAAACTCCTGCTTTAATTTGTTTTGATGAGAAGTGTGGGCTGAACCTCATCATCCAGCTTTGAGAACAGGTGTTGAAAAGTAAATAAAATGGAAAAGGAGAAGACAGAAAAACAAAAGGTGAAGGACAAGAAACAGAGAAATGAAATGAAAGATATTGCAATGGAAGAAAAAAGGCAGGAGCTGAAAGGGGAGGCTGGAAGGGATGAACACCAGGAGAATTTATGTTGACAAGATGCAGGAACAAAAATAATTCAGGCCAAATCCATCTGACAGGGATGAAAATGCCATTTCAAGCATCCATAAACAGCAAAACTGCCACAGGAAAGAATTAATTGTTGTCTGTGTGCAAAAAAAGAGTAAGTAAAGGACGGGGGAGCCCAGGTAGGAGAGCAGGGTGTGAATTCCAGCCCCATGGAGCAGCAGCCGAGCCCTGAGCCCCGGGAGAGCTGAGCCGGGTGCCAGGGCCCACCTGCTCCATAGGGAAAGGTGTATCCAGGACCTCCTGACCTGCCACTGGCTCCTCCAAGGGGCTCCTCCAGCCCAGCAGCCCCAGGAACACAGGGATCCATCCCCAGGTGTGGGTCTGACCACCTCAGGGACCTCAGAGCCCTGACAGACACCCCAATGTCCTGGCAGCCCCCTCAGTGCCCCACCTGGAAAGACAATTCCGCACTCATCCCCATGTCCTGGCAGCCCCCTCAGTATTCCACGTGGAAAACCAATCCTACACCCAGCCCCATGTCCTGGCAGCCCCCTCAATGTCCTGGCAGTCCCCTCAGTGTCCCACTTGGACAGGCAATCCCACACCCATCCTCATGTCCTGGCAGCCCCATCAATGTCCTGGCAGTTCCCTCAATGTCCTGGCAGTTCCCTCAGTGTCCCACCTGGAAAGACAATTCCACACCCATCCCCATGTCCTGGCAGCCTCCTCAGTATCCCACATGGAGAACCAATCCTACACCCAGCCCCATGTCCTGGCAGTTCCCTCAATGTCCCAGCAGTTCCCTCAGTGTCCCACCTGGAGAACCAATTCCACACCCAGCCCCATGTCCTGGCAGCCCCCTCAATGTCCTGGTAGTTCCCTCAGTGTCCCACCTGGAAAGCCAGTTCCACACCCAGCCCCATGCGCCCCCTCAGTACCCCACCTGGAGAACCAATCCCACACCCAGTCCCATGTCCTGACAGCCCCCCCAATGTCCTAGAAGCCTCTTCAGTGTCCCACTTGGAGAACCAATCCCACACCCAGCCCCATGCCCTGGCAAGCCCCTCAGTATCCCACCCAGAGAACCAATCCCATACGCAGTTCCATACCCTGGCAGTCCCCTCAGTTTCCCACCTGGAGAGCCAATCCCACACATAGTCCCATGTCCTCACAGCCCCCCAATGCCCTGGCAAGCCCCTCAGTATCCCACCCGGAGAACCAATCCCATACCCAGCCCCATGCCCTGGCAAGCCCCTCAGTTTCCCACACAGAGAACCAATCCCACACCCAGTCCCATGTCCCGCCACCCAGCCTGCCACCCCCTTACTCCGCTCTCCCTGTTCCCCTGTGCCCCCAGGTAGGGGATCCCACCTTGTCCTCTGCCCTCTCCATAAATCTCCTCCATCCCTCCCCACTCTGTGCCGTCCCCTCACGGCCTCCCGAGCGTCTCCCCCGCCGCCATTACCGGCCTCCATCGCCGTTGCCGTGGGAAATGGCGGCAGCGCCCCAGGACCGGGTTCTCACCCCTTCCCTCCCTCTTCCCTCACCCTGCACCCAGCAGAGGTGCCTGTGTGTGTTTTTCCACCCTCATATTTCCATATCCCATCGAGCTATTAATGGGAATTTGGCAACGTGGGGCCCCGCCGTGCCGCAGCCACGGAGGTGCCTCACATGTGGGGCCACGGCCTGTGGACCTCGGAGCTCAGTGGCCAGACCCAACAGGCCGCAAACTCGGGTTTAAACTAAGCATTCCTATGTTGAAAAAGGAGAAAAGCTCTTCAGAACGAAGTGATGTTTTCCTTGGGATGGGAGTTGTGTCCTGAAGCCCTCACCTGCCATTCCCTGTAGCTCCAGGAACGGCTTCTCCACGGGGGGGTCAGTGGTTGTTTCAGGGGTGAAGCGGAGCAGGAATGAGAGTTCATTGGCAATTCTGCCCCAGAATTTGACTGTGGATGTTTGATGGTGCAAATATTTACAGCTTTGAGTATAAATTGAGTATACAACTTCCTTGTGAGGGGAGGAGGAGGGGCAGGCACTGATCTCTTCCCTGTGGCGACCAGAGACAGGACCTGAGGGAATGGCCTGAAATTGTGTCAGGGCAGGGTTAGGTTGGATATTAGAAAAATGTTCTTCCCCCAGAGGGTGGTTGGGAGCTGGAACAGCCTCCCCAGGGCAGTGGTCACAGCACCAAGGCTGACAGAGCTCAAGAAATGTTTGGACAACGCTCTCAGGCGCAGGGTGTGACTCTTGTGGATGGTGCTGTGCGGGGCTAAGAGTTGGACTCGATGACCTTGTGGGTCCCTTCCAACTCAGCATATTTTGTGATTCTGTGAAATTATTAGGATCCTTATCACAAGGCTTATCAATATGCTTTGATGCCAATGACCACAGCATCCTTTGATTGTACTTCTTCAGACCACTAATAACCAAAGAAATTTGAAAACGTTAAATTCCAAGTTGCCCGTTGTCTCCTAGGCTATACTCACATCCAAAATCTCCTGGGAAACAAGCATGAAAAACAACTTTTGGCTGTAATTTATGTTTTTTCACTTATGTGGGTTTTTTTGTTGTTGTTGTTGTTGTTTTACAGGAAAATGCTCTGAACATACCTGCTTTTAATAGGCTTTTTGCTGAACCTCCTGTTGTCTCTCAAAAGTAAAAAGAAATGACAGATGGTGAGCCACACAGTGTAAACTATCCATAGTTTTATTTTTAGTTTTCAGTGAGTGTTTTCAGGATCCCAGTTCCATACATGGAGTTCTGCATTTCCAGCCTCACAGAAGGGTTTTCACAGACAAAAAAAATTCCTTTCAACAGCATATTTACTATTTGCTTTATTGCTATTTAGCAGTGCATTTGGTCCTACCTATTCAATCCTAGAAATAAAGTGTTATATTCCATTGTAAGTGTTTTCAGGACATTGCTATATTCAATCCTAACATGTCAAATGTGTGTAAGCCCCTTTTAAAACCTAGGCCAGTTTCACCTCTGGCATAGGGACAGCTTTACTGAGCTCACATTGCTCACTTACAGCAGAAACAAACTTTGCCCTTAAAATTTGAAAGTAATCTGTTATCATTTAACATTCTTAAAATACCTCTCATGCTCAGAGACCTCCTTGAGCAAATATGTGCAGGCAGCCAGTGAATTGTGGCCATCTCTGGGGCAGAAGCAACAACCAGATGGAAAAAGAGCATCCTGGATAATGAGAGTAGAATGGGGAGGTGGGGGTTTCCCAAAGTATTCTGAACCTCTTCTTTCACCTTGTGGCCTGGAAATTTTCACTGGTGATGCAAAAAGAGGGAGAAAAGGCAACTGCAGATTCTGGGTGCATGGAGTCAGCCAAATCACCCCCCTCACTATCAAGGAGGGAAATCCCTGAGCCTGCAGTGAGGACGATGAGCTGAATTCTTTAAAGCTGAGTGTTCATAACCAAGGCTTATTTCAGTGTGATCTCTCCTATAATTACTTCTGCATCTATGCTCCCCTTGCCCTCTCCTTCTTCCTTCCCCTTCTATAATCTAAATTTTCCAGCTACAGCTCCAAAGCCTGGTTGTGATTGAGGAAAGGGCACAAGCTCTTTTGTGCAGGCGACAGCAGCGACAGTGCCCATGCAACCTGATGGCTTTGTGATTGCCCCCAGCTCCCTGTCCCTTCTCACTTGTCCCTTCCCCCTCTCCCAAATATTTCTCCAGCCCTGTCTCATTGGTGCACTACTCTCCCTTGCCTTTTTTGGGCTGCCACCCTGTCAATCTAATGCAATAAGGCCGGGGGCAGGTGCAAACCCCTCGCTACGGCTCCTCTTACAGACCAATCCTCGTCCCAAAATACCTGAGAGCCAATGGAGTGGGAAAACCCGGGACCCCGAGGAGAGGGCAAAGCTGCTGGATTGCCTGGGGGAGGGGGCATCCATTTAGGACCCGGGTTAGCCCAGGAGCTGCTGAATTCCTCTTGGGATCGTGGAGACTTGTGGATAGCAGGCTCTGCTGATTCACTTCCATCACTGCCAACATGGTGATCAAAGTATTTGTGGCCACATCTTCGGGGTCTACAGCGGTAGGTGACTCCTTTAACATCCTCTTACTGCTGGGATCAGGGTGGGGAATTAGCCCAGAAGGTGCCAGGACAGAGCTTGCATTTGAGAAAAAAAAAACACTGGAATTCTTAACAGTAATAAACCTTATTTTTATTGTACACTGGCCACCTTAGTCTTGAAAGCTACTCGAGATGTAGAGAATTCCTGGTAGTGCAGTCTGGCTTGCGTGAGAGCTTTTGCCACAGTTATGACATTTACATCTAAATTATCTATTATTTAATAGATTTACTATGTTTGGAAAAGTATATGAAGTATATATTCACTGAAGAAGGACAAAGTGGATATTGTATTTGCACAGAAGTGAAGGCAGATTGTCTGCAGTAGAAAATAATGTATTTGTTTTTAAAAGAGGCTTTAGGACACTTCTCCTGCAAAAGGGGAACTCTGGCTGAGAAAGAGCCTGGAGCTGAATAAAGTTATGCAGAAAAACTTCTTCCCCACTCCCCTCCCTTTCCCTAGGTTTGGGGAGTTTTTTTGGTTTGTTTGGTAGTTTGTCTTTTGGGTTTTTTTCTGGAGTGTGTGTCTCTTGAAACATTATACTGATGATTTTTAGCATTGAGATCTCCTACTGTAGCTGTCAGCAGAGTGTATCAGCTGAAGGGAAGGGCATGTGAATAGTGGGGAGGTTGGAAGTCCGTGGGAGGTGGGAACCGGGAAAGGACTGTTTCCTTTTATATCCAGTTCCCAGATGAGCTCAGATTTCAGTTTTCCTCTGGCACTCACTCACTGCCAGTGACATGGCTAAACAAACTGGCTGGTGCTTGCCCAGAGCTGGAACTACATCTCTATCTCCCTGACACCAGCTCCATTTCTTCAAGAAGCTTCCAGAGTGGAAAAGCTCCAAAAAACACCCCCTGTTCATGGGATCATCATCTCTAGAAAATGAACCAGGGGTCATTCACCAAAATTCCAGTTGGAATACCGCTGAGGAGGTTTGCAGTTCTCCCACTAAGCCTGACACTCCAAATTTACTACTGGCATTTAGCATTCCTTCTTTTTATAATGAAATTTAAGGAAAAAAAAACCAACAAACAAAACAAGAAAAGAAGAGGAGGTTGGAAACTTCAGGTTTGGTAATTTGGAATAATTCACTTGCTGCTCAAGGAGCTTTATAAGTCGCCCCACGCTGTGCATGGACAGTATTTTTGCCCCTGTTCGACCTGTTTTGGTCTCCTTTGGAGACTCCAGGAGAAGAGTATGGAATCTTCCCATGGCAACGTGCCTCTGTATTTCCTCCTTTCTGGTGTGCTGGGGGTGTGTGGAGCCGTAGCAATCTCAGAAGGCAGTATGTGTTCCCATTACTGGTTCAGAATTGCAATGCCAAGTGTTCAGCTGGAGCAGTTTTCCACATTTACTGATGAACATGGATGGGAGGGATCCTTTCAATGAACCTTTAACGAGTTTTAGTCTACGTCAAATAAAATTCACTCATGCAAGGAGTCAGCCTAAAATTCAATGTGTCACTAAAATCCTATTAAAATTAAATTTTGTATCAGCCTTGTACAGCTTTTCCCGAGAAGAATTAATTTAATCCCTAAAGAGTTTAAATTGGAAGTTTAAACTGTCCTAGGAGCACTGGTGATCTCTTCAAAGTGCCTGATCTCCATTAGATGTGTGGTGTTGATTTTGAATTTCAAATAGGATGGGTCCAGCTTCCTCTGACACGTGTAAATCAGATCATTGGTAAAGAATGAAAAATGTTTCTATTCCATGTACTACACGGTCATACTACTCAGTGTTCCTTGTTTAAATGTTAATAAATGCTTTGTAAAAGTGACTGCAGTGAACCCAGTGACATTGTGGTGCTCTGGATCAGATGCTTGAATGATCTAATTCACCTCAGCTCTAGAGCTAATCTGCATTTTCCCCATCGAGGATTCAGCAATTTATTTTAAATATCTTCAGTTTTATTATCTTTCTCCTCCAAACTTAGCCGATATCGAACTATTCATTATGTGGAGAGCTTATTTATAGCTCTGAAAAGCACTAAATGCTTGGCTTGGAGCATGTAGTAAAAAAAAATAAAATAATTTTGTTGCTAGTTACAGAGGTGTTTAGGAATTGAGAATATCCTGCAAGGTTTTAAATCATGGGAGAAAGAGGGTTCAGGTCTTCCAAAGTCTCTCTTGCTGCTGCTCATGGTTGGGACACCTCTAAAATCCTTTATTCCCAGTGATTTTGGTGATATTTTATGAACTTTCCCCCCCTCCAAATCTCCATCAAAAGCACTGTGGGCAGGAGGTGAGGGGGGATTCTGCCCCTCTGCCCCCTCAGGTGAGAACCCCCCTGCAGAGCTGCTCCAGCCCTGGGGAACAGCCCAGCAAGGACATGGAGCTGCTGGAGAGAGGCCAGAGCAGGAACCAAGAGGATCAGAAGGATGGAGCAGCTCTGCTGGGGGGAAAGGCTGGGAGAGCTGGGATTGTTCAACCTGGAGAGGAACAGCTTTGGGGT